GGATGGCTAATTATATATATATTGTTGTTCATTCGTTCAGTCGTCTCCGACTCTTCGTGACCTCATGGACCAGCCCACGCCAGAGCTCCCTGTCGGCCGTCACCACCCCCAGCTCCTTCAAGGTCAGTCCAGTCACTTCAAGGATGCCATCCATCCATCTTGCCCTTGGTCGGCCTCTCTTCCTTTTACCTTCTACTTTCCCCAGCATAATTGTCTTCTCTAGGCTTTGCTGTCTCCTCATGATGTGGCCAAAGTACTTCAACTTTGTCTCTAGTATCCTTCCCTCCAATGAGCAGTTGGGCTTTATTTCCTGGAGGATGGACTGGTTGGATCTTCTCGCAGTCCAAGGCACTCTCAGAACTTTCCTCCAACACCACAGCTCAAAAGCATCGATCTTCCTTCGCTCAGCCTTCCCTAAGGTCCAGCTCTCACATCCGTAGGTTACTACAGGGAATACCATGGCTTTGACTAGGCGGAGCTTTGTTGCCAGTCTGATGTCTCTACTCTTTACTATTTTATCGAGATTGGACATTGCTCTCCTCCCAAGAAGTAAACGTCTTCTGATTTCCTGGCCACAGTCTGCATCACATTTGGGCATATGAGTATTTGTACCAAGTTTGGTCCAGATCCATGTTTGAGTCCACAGTGCTCTCTGGATGTAGGTGAACTACAACTCCAAAACTCAAGGTCACCAAACCCTCCCAGTATTTTCTGTAGGTCATGGGAGTTCTGTGTGCCAAGTTTGGTTCAATTCCATCTCTGGTGGAGTTCAGAATGCTCTTTGATTGTAGGTGAACTATAAATCCCAGCCAACTACAACTCCCAAGTGAAACCCCCAACCCCACTAGTATTCAAATTTGGGTGTATCGGGTATTTATACAAAATTTGATCTAGTGAATGAAATACATCCTGCATATCAGATATCTACATGATGATTCATAAGAGTAGCAAAATTACAGTTATGAAGTAGCAATGAAAATAATTTTATGGTTGGGGTCACCACAACATGAGAACCTGTATTAAGAGGTCGTGACATTAGGAAGGTTGAGAAATACTGCTCTACCCCATTGCAAGTATAAGAGAGCAGAGCATTAAACAATTTGCTTTTGCTCACTCCTCCACTCTGTTTTATCAGCAATGCTAGAGAGTTTCCATCAGGGGACCCTTCTGAAGAGATTAAAATATTAAAGTTTTGTCTAACATCATTCTTCTGGTGCTTCAAGAACTTCTCAATCACATGCATTTCCTCAGTGGTCCTCGCATAAAGTAGGCTTGTATATTTATTTCCATATTGGAAGCAGAGCCGGTGAACTCATGGCTTGCCTGAGGCTGCACAATACATCAATGGCCTCGGTATGATTTGAACTAGATCCATCCTCTCCATAGCTAATGTTCTTGTTAGCCTCTGATCCACTCCAGCCATCAAATTGCCATTTTATGTCCATTTTATCATCTTCTCCTGTGCCTTATTATGTATTAGAAAACAACAACAACAACACTTTATTTATATCCCATCCCATCTCCCCGTGGGGACTCAGAGTGGAGAAGAGAAGGGGGAAAGAAAGGATATCTTATAGAATGGCCATAAACAAGGGCCATAAACTTGAACAGGGCGAATAGGTAAGCAGTGTCATACTTCTAGCTAACCTGTAAGTGCTCGGGTAGAGTACAGGATCAAAAATGCCTCCAGTTTGGCATATATTTTTTTGGAGTAGCTGGTCACAGTCATCTGTATTTCTCATTCTTTGTTGTTTTACTGACCACGCAATATCTTTTCTGTCTTCCATTAAGATATGAATTTTCAGGAAGCTGCTGTTGAAATGCAATAGCTTTTGTTCAGCAAGCAAAGCAATTAAAAATGAAAGAAACCCCATTTTAAAGCATTTGCAAGCCGTTCCCCTCCCCAGCTATTTGGGTCTCTTTTAATGAGATGCTCTCTGACTCACTGCTGAGATTGCTGTAGATTACATTGTGCTCTGGACCTGAATAAGTAACTTTTGCATTGAGTAGGCATTAATGAGTGACTAGAGCCAAGCTTCTCTCTGTGCTCAGCGGGAGCAGCACCTCTGTGCCTTCCTCCCTTAGAGAAAAGAGATGTGAGAGCTTCAAGAAATATGGTCTCTGCAACAAAGCTCCTTTCTTCTTCTTTCTTCTCTTCTCTGCAAGGAGACAGAGAACCACTGAGAAGACAAATTCCAGAAGGAAAGTTGTATCTTGCAGCTGCTCCCCCCCAACTGATATCCTCTAGTACCTTAGAGATTAAGTTATGTGGAAAAGAAATGTGAAATAGTTCATCTTAGTGTTGGCCATGTGTTGCCCTATTTTGGAAGCTATAGCCATACTGAAACATTGTTCATTCCTTATATTTCTGTAAATTTGATCTTGCATTGTTCTTGGTAGCTTGCTTTTGATCAAACAGCCTTTCTTGATCCCGATGCAGTCTTTTTCAGTATCCATATATCAGGAAAAAGTAAAGTTATCAACAGTCCTGCTCAGATCTCTGAGACTCAGGGCCATGGTTTCTTATCTGGGTCTATCCATTTGTAATCCAGGTCTCATCTACACTGTCATATAATGCAGTTTCACAATGCAGTTTAACTGAATTGCACTGCATTATATGACAGCATAAACCCATTTTGGAGGTGATTTATTGGAAAAGATGAGAATGGTTGGTAAGGAAGAAGGAAGTGGGAAAAGAGAATGGCTGTGGCCCCATCTACACTGCCCTGTAATTCCGTTTCATAATGCAGTTTAACTGAATTGCACTGCATTATATGTCAGTGTAGAATCATACAATGCAGTTAAACTACATTATGAAACTGAATTATAGGGCAGTGTACATGGGGCCACAGTCATTCTTTTTTCCTTCTTCCTTACAAACCACTCTCATATTTTCCAATAAATCACCTCCAAAATGGAGCCCCCGGATGGTGCAGTGGGTTAAACTCCTGTACCGGCAGGACTGAAAACCGACAGGTCACAGGTTCGAATCCGGGAAGAGCCGGATGAACTCCCTTTATCAACTCCAGCTCCTCATGCAGGGACATGAGAGAAGCCTCCCACAAGGGTGATAAAAACATTAAATCATCCGGGCGTCCCCTGGGCAACGTCCTTGCAGACGGCCAATTCTCTCACACCAGAAGCGACTTGCAGTTTCTCAAGTTGCTCCTGACATGACAAAAAAAAACCAACTCCAAAATAGGATGGACATCTCAGCTTCTAGGAAGAGTTTAGGCTTGATTTGCTCTAGGACCCATTTATTTATCTCTTTGGCACTTCATGGTACCTGCGGACTACAGGGCCACATTTCAAACGAGTTGATTCTCTATTCGGTTTCTTCGCTGCACAGCTTTCACAACCATACATAGAATATGATTGCAACACTTATAAAAGTGCTAAGTCTTAAGACACACATTCTAAAATAGCTTTGTTAGTGATATTGTTTCCCCATCCCCTTAATGTTTTAGAATATCATGCATGAAGTTATCCCTTGTTATCTAGTTAAGATTTAGAGGTGGGTAGCTTTATGATATTGCAGGGCTGAACTTTCTATCAGTGTTCGTCATCATAGCCAATAAAGAGAGTAAAAGTTGGTGGGAGTTGTAAACCAACAGTATTTGGAGAGCCACAAGCTTCTGGGGTTTAAATTAACATATGGCTGGCTTGATTAGTTTATTTCTTTTCTTTTTTTTATTTACAGCATTTATATTCCCCCCTTCTTACCCCGAAGGGGACTCAGGGCGGATCACAGAACACATACACTGCAAACATGCAATGCCGTTAAACAAACAGAACAGACAACCGGGGTGTGTGTGTGTGTGCTGTATCTCCATTCCATATGACAGTGGTTCTCAACCTGTGACTCCCCAGATGTTTTGGCCTTCAACTCCTAGCTGGTAAACTGGCAGGGATTTTTGGGAGTAGTAGGCCAAAACACTGGAGACCCACAGGTTGAGAACCAATGCTCTATGACAGGTATCCTCAAACTGCGGCCCTCCAGCTGTTTGTGCCTTCAACTCCCAGAATTCCTGACAATTGAACAAGTTCATTAGGGCTTCTGGAAGTTGGAGGCCCAAACAGCTGGAGGGCCGCAGTTTGAGGATGCCTGCTCTATGACAAAGAACCCTTGATCACAGGCTTCCTCTTTCCTTTGATCGCTGGAATTTTCTAGTATTTCCTATTTATTGTGCCATAAAATACCTCCCCACTTAAGTGGTGCCTAATTTCTCTACTCACAGCTGTTTTTGAATTGCTTAGGTGGACAGTGAGCTGGGCTTAAGGCCAGGTGTTCACCCCAACCCAGGCTTTGAACAGCCAACCTTTTGATTGGTGTGATCTATTGTTGCTGGCAATTAACCAGCTGTGCTAAAGCCCGCCTCAATACGTTTTTGTGCAGATTTTTAAAAAATAGTGCATAATAACATTTACCAAAAACAGTTAATTAAAAATCAGAGTTTTCTTTTGTGAGAATTGAAGTCCAAAAGTGTCTTTAATTCATGTGAATAGTCAGGATTATAATGCTTGGGTAAATGGAGAGGTCTCTGGGTGATGGCAGAGACTCTCAACCATAGGAGCCTGACAAATATCTATGGGGGCATCATTCTACATGTTGAGTGCTCCAATAAAGAAGACCCTCTCCTGCCCAGCAAGGAAACAAACATTTGACTTTAGTCTTCTCTAAGCTCCATGCCTCTATCTTTTTAAATTGTCAAGTTCAGGATTTCAGTCTTGGCATCAAACTGAACAAACCAAAGACGCCCATTACCATCTTACTGAACATTCAGGAGCATTTAACTGATTGTTCTAGAAGTAGAATGCTAGATTAGATCCATCCTTGGTCTAACAAGGCAGTGGTGATAAGCCTAAGATAATTTATGTGAAGCTATGCCAGATAATAGTTATGTCATTCAGACTAGTTTTGCATGGATTACCCTGGTTCATTTAGTGGGAGTTTGAGTATCCTAAATATTAAGTGAACAAGACTTCTGGTTGCTTTACAGTCTTGTTGATACTTGGAGAAATGACATCGGAGTACATCCTCTAAAATTTCCTGCAAAAACCTGTTTGGACCTGCTGCTGATACTGACTCGGAGTAATGCTTCATTGCCATCTTCCCTTCGCTGGATGAATTCTTTCCAGGTAAAGAAATAATATAGTACAGCTAATGTATTGTTGAAAGTTTTCATGGCCAGAATCACTGGGTTGTTGTAGGTCTTTCGGGCTATATGACCATGTTCTAGAAGCATTCTCTCCTGACATTTCACCTACATCTATGGCAAGCATCCTCAGAGGATGCCTGACATAGATGCAGGTGAAACGTCAGGAGAGAATGCTTCTAGAACATGGCTATATAGCCCGAAAACCTACAACTGCCAAGTACAGCTAATGTTAAAAAGATAGACCTTTGGATTCTATTTGTTGTTGCAAAACTAATTATCAATAAATCACAATTTGATCCTGGATTCATATTGTTACTACTAAATGAGAAAATGAAAGATTTGAACTATAATTTGTTTCACTACATGTTTTTGGCAGCGAGGTTGCCCTATGCCTAGAAATTGGAAAGTACTGATCTACTAAAAAAAGAATGAATGCATTCTGGAGATTTTTGAAATAGTGGAAATAGGCAAATAATTATCTGCATAGATCAAATAGAAATTGTTGGAAAACTTTTGAAACGTCTGGAAATCTTTTAAATCTTTTATTAAGAAGAAACAAGACAAGATGACATTTGCGGGTTTTGAAGAAGGTGATTTATTTTTTAATCATTAGGCAGAAGAACGTTAATTAAGTAGTAATGAGAAGATTATTATATTTTCTTATTAATGTCTTTGGTTTGGAGTGTGGGAAGTCAATTTTAATTGATCTTTTTATGTGGGTGCGACGGATGGGAATAGATTACTGTTTGTTTTTCATGTTTTTCATGTTTGGTATAGTTTTTCTTTGTTAGTAGTTTGTTTGGTTCTATTTTATTTATACTGTTTCTATTATGGTGAAGTTGGACCGTTCCAGGAGAGTAGCACAGTCCTCGGTCCTCCTTGTTTTCCTTTGGGGAAAATGGGACTGCTATGGTGAACAGTGGGACAGGAAAGTTGACTGGCTTGAATTATTTGGAGGCTAATTTTAGACATAGTAAATGGGTGTTTTTTAAAAACTCTGCACAGCTGTTTTAGTTTGCTCGCATGCATATCACATCCTTTTTCTGATAGTGAGTGCTTGAAATTCCCAAGTAACTGGCAGGGTATGCTATGAACTCAAGCAGAGCTGTTGATGGATGGTCTGTTAACTTTTACAAAAATAATAAAATTCAAGGACACGTTGCTAGCTAACTAAAGAACATCACCTTCATGTAACTTTTGCTTCAAACGATTTCTGCCATTGTTGTGTTCCAACTGCAATCTCTTCCTGCGCCAGACTTTTTTGAAACTCCTAAATCAAGCAGCCATAATAAAATCACTTCCCTATATTTCTATATGGATAAGCTTAAAGATAAGGCATATACTTACTTACTTAGACGATTCCTTGTTATCCGTGTATGATGGCCTTCCAAGTGTAGTGTCTTGGCAGTGGATAGGTAGGTGACTGTGGAGCCCTGTTCTTCATCCGCTTGTTCTTCCACAGTGAGAGCATTGGTTTCCAGGTGGAAGACTGTCCTAGTGAGGGTTGGCTTGATGTGCCTTCCTCTTGGTATGTTTCTCCTTTTCTCCCTCTGTTCATGCCTCTTTGAACTTCACAGGATTACCAGTCACAGCTGACTTCCAGTTAGAGAGAAGATATATATGTGTATGCTCTGATATTTCATAGAAAAGAAGGTGATCTCATATTCTGCTGGAATACCCTACTAACATGATGCTCTCTGACAGTATTTTGTGATCATTCTGGTCCCCAAGACAATCTTTTATGGTTTAAAATTCACCATAAAACATGTATCACAATATGGTTTTACCTAGTCCTAATAGTGCTTTCATTCAGTTTCTATCAAGGGTTTGAAAAAAGTTGATTTTTATCTCCATTGCATGGCGAGAGAGAGAGGACCACCTGCTGCTAAGATATTCCCAACTACCACCAACTTTATAAGAACTGTGTCTTTAAAAGGGAAATCCAGTATACCCTATATGCTCATGTATAAGTCTAGAAATGTTAGTCAAAAAATCAGCTCAAAAAACCATTGCCTTCTTTGAGTAGAGCGGAGAAATACAAGAGCTTAGACCATTTCAGGAGAATGTAGTGGAGCACCGACATCCTCTTCCCTCTCTGCTGTGGCGCTTCTTCTGGACTTTTTGAAGGCCTGGGTGGAAAAATGGCAATGGTCAGAGATGGCTGGTCCCTTGAGACAGCAATGCTGTTTGTGAAATAACCCTCAATGTATTAATTGATCACATCAAAATCTGTTGTTTTGGCCCCGAAAACCAGTCCCCAACTTATACATGAGGTCAATTTTATATATGAGTAGATATGGTTGTTCACTTTTTATCCATCATTTAACTTTTATAGCTACATGGCTTGTTACAATCCATTCAGTGCTTGAAAAAGTTAGTTTTATGCACCAATACTCCCAAAATAATCACAGGCAACACTGTACTTGCCATCCTAGATTAATGATTCAAGGAGACGTAATGTGAAAAAATAACTTTTTTTCAAGCTCTGAATCTAATATATAAAGCCAGTTACCCTTTAGTTGCATTGACTTTATATTTCTTGCCTGAGGGAGCTGGTGCTCATGTAAGTTCCTAGTCATGCTAGTTGAAAAAGTGTCAAAGAGTAAGTCTTTAGAATATTGTAGTTGATTTTTTATTCGGTGTCATGCGCCTATATAAGAATACAATCATGGTCTATTTAACTTCACAAATCCTGCCTGGTTCGGTTTTGATATTTGATAGTTGCTAAAGTAAAATATACAATTTTTCATAACAGTGTCCCCCAAAGATCTCTGATAGATGACCTAATGGGTAATCATAAACATTCGTTATCAGATAAACCAGTGGTTCTCAACCTGTGGGTCCCCAGGTGTTTTGGCCTACAACACCCAGAAATCCCAGCCAGTTTACCAGCTGTTATGATTTCTGGAAGTTGAAGGCCAAAACATCTGGGAACACACAGGTTGAGGACCTCTGAGATAAGCAATCTAGTTTGGGATGGGTTTGATTGTCTTCCTAGATAGTGTGTGTCCCCCAAAATAATGTCAGCAGAACTCAAGAGAGATTGCGTGTCACATAAAACCAAACCTTTGATACCATTATTGTTTGCAGGTGATCTGAAAAACATACATGATGATGGTCACAGTAACCTATAGGTTTCAATTAAGAAACCCTAAAACTAAATTTTAATATTAGCAACCGCAGCAGTAGTAACAAAAATAATAATATCAATGTATCTATTAAATATAGATGTAACTGAAAGGAACAACTGACCACATTTTAAAGGACAAAGAATTTGATATATTAAATAACAGTGCAGAAATATTTTAAGTATCTGAGTTAGGTCGGAGCTCTCTGCCACATCTGAACCTGGGGATCTCTCACTCAAACAAGGACATGGCTGTCTTTTATTCATTAACGTCCAAAATCCCTCAGCTGACATAGTTAGTAGGTGCCAAGATTGGCTTGAAAATTTACTTTTTGGAAAATATTAAGCCACATCTATCTTTAAAATAAATAGTTTAGGAGAAAAGGGGGATTTTTGTGATATTTCCAACAGCCAGAACAGTAGCTGAAGTAGGTTTAAAGACTTGTGTGCGTGATATGTATTATTTGTCAAACATCTGAGAGTTTGCGAAAGGTTAGGGGGATGCATTACCCCTCAGGAGACTTTGGAGAGCATCAAATTTCCCCTAAAACACCCTCTAAGTAAAATGGCGGCATTCTCACTAAATTTGGGAGTTTTTCTTGTCCCTTAGAGGGCATTTTGTGGTTGATAAAAATGTTATTTGATCCATTGCAATATCCAGGTGGTCTCCCAATGTGGTGAAAATACCCCACACACTCGCTAGTGATAATCTGAGGGCCTTTTGGAGCAAAACAAAAGGGAGGGGGTTACCCCATGAGCCACACTTTGCCCATCCCAAATCTGAAGGAAAGAAGGCACTGTGCTGAAATAAATCTGTGATATGTGGGCATATTGTGCCATTGAACTATAGCTGTATTTCATTGCTGGGCAAATACTGTTGAAGACTGTAGGTGTTTTGGAAAAGATGACATGACCTTTTGGGGAGTCATTTTTGTTAAAAGATTACACTGATGTATTGTGTCACCAGCCCTGCTTGGCAGCACATTCAGAACAAGTTCAAGTGATGATCTGGTTTCAGGAAAGCCAAGTGGCTCTGACATCTCTTCAGAGAGGAAATGTACCAAATTACCGGGTCTCGGAGCATGTTGCAAGAGGTGGTTGTGAAGCTGAAAAGCAATTTGGATGTGATGAAGTGTACGAGGCCAGCAGAGAGAAGTTATTAAGCTTGTCTTGTATTTGCCAATTGAAGTACAAGAGGCGTTCTCAGGGTGTTATGGCCTTTTCTTCAAGGGCTCACCGTTGATGTCTGCAGTCAGTTCCCAACAACTTGTCTGCGCGGAGTGAAATCAAAGCCTTTCATTTCATTGCAGACATAGCGATGATGGTGTCATGCTCCAATCAGGACACCCAATTTTAACCGCTTATCTACAGAAATAGCCTTGTGGCTGATGAGACCTGGGAAAAGGAATAATTGAAAATGAGCCTGCTATCAAAGTTTCAGAGTTTAGTTGATTAAAGGCTATCATTTTGGAGAAAGGGGATATTTTGCAATGTTGTTTGCGGTATGGAAGCAGAGTCTGCATGAGGAGGAGGCTCGGAGTTGTAGTTTGCTGAGGAACCACCACTATTTGGCAGAGGAGACTAAAGAGTTGTAAAACTATAAATCCCATGATTCATAGCAGTTGAAGTGATGTCAAGTTGTGTTAATTCTACAGTGTAACTGCTTCTCGAAGAGTATATTCAGCGTACTGTGTGTAGTTGGTTCCTTTGTGTTCCTGTTGTCTAATTAACACAGCACAACAACAAAAAAGCTTGGTGTCTTATTTTTTAGGCCTGCCCCTGGGGTTAGGGTCACTAATTTGGAAAATTGTATTGAATAGACCACTAAGGAACCATTTTAGTTCGGGGCCAGA